ATTTCAGAGTTTTTCATGTGGGTTGCTAACATTTCAGCTGCCATAATGAATAAAAAGCGGGATATATTGCATCCTTGTTTAACTCCTCGGTTTAAAGAAAAGCGAGGAGTAGTGCCTGTAGGGAGTGCTACTGTACTGGTTGTACCATCATAAAATGATTTAATAATGTTACAAAATTTTGGTCCAAATCCATATAAATGCAGTATTTTAAAAAGGTATTGATGTTCTAGTTTATCAAAAGCTTTGTGAAAGTCCAGAAATAAAATGAAGCCCTTATCCTCAATTAGGTGTCCATAGTCTAAGATGCCTTGTTGTTATGGATCGATCTTTTGTTGACAAAACCCGACTGAGTCTCACTTACTATCTGATTGAGACCTTTTTTTAATCTATTTGTATAGAAATATGTCAGCAACTTATAGTCACTGTTTAAAAGTGAAATTGGACGATAATTTTCTAATGTTCTGTCGTCCTTGCCAGGTTTTGGTATCAATGTTATAATACCCTGTTTCATGCTTGTAGGTAACATTAGATTGGTTATTGCTTCATTAAATACTTGAAAGAGGAGCTCCCTAAGCAGCTCCCAAAAGTGTCTGTAGAAGTTGGCTGTCAGCCCATCAGGACCAGGAGATTTGTCTAATTTTAAACACATAAGCGCTTCATCCAGTTCTGTCATTTCTATATTTTTTTCACAGTTTTTTTCAAAGTCATTGTTAATTTTTGGAACAAGTTTTTCAATTTTCTTAATAAAGATGTCTGTTTTTTCAGAGTAAAAAGAGGTATATAAGTTTTGATAAAAGGTTTATATTTCTTTTGCAATAGCAGATGGATCRGAGCATTCTGTACCATTAATCATCAGATTTTATTCAGTTTCGTTCTTGTCTGTTTTTTTCCAACCTACAAAAGCAGGCTGTATTTTTTTCTCCTTCCTCCATCCACTTTGCTCGTGATCTGATGTATGCCCCTCTAGCCTTTCCTTCATAKATTTGATCCAGTTTAGTTTGTAATTGTAAAAGTTTTATTTTATAATTTTCTGACAGAAGCGGACGTGTAGTTATTGAGAGTATATCTTTTATGGCATTCTCTTCTATGCTATTTTGATTCTTAACATGTTTACTAAACGAGATTGAGAAATGGTGAATTTTGTAATTTATGAATTCCCATTTCTGGGTGTATGATGTTAGGGTTTCATCATGTAGGATCTTTTGCATGAGGTTTTCTATACCTTTACAAAAGTCTTCGTGATTTAACAGGCTAGAGTTAAATTTCCAGTATCCTTTTCTGTTGGACGACTGTGTTAGAGGTGTAACAAGTAATTCAACGCAGCAGTGGTCAGTTAGAGGAGCGGGCATTATATCACAGAGTGGAATTTGATAGAGCAGATCAGCTATCAATCAAAAGTCAAGTCTTGATTTGGATGAACCATCTGGCTTGAACCAAGAATATTGTTTTATGTTTGGATTTTTCTCTCTCCATATATCAGGTTTAGTGAGTTACAGTAATCATCCAGCATTGTATTTGGGTGAGAATTTGTAAATTTACTAGGAAATCTATCCAGACAATCATCCTTAACCATGTTCCAGTCTCCTAATATTATATTTTCAGTTGCATACTTAGTTTTAAATTATAGTATAACTTCTTTGATCTCTGTTAGAAGGCTTCTGTTTTGTGCTGTATTACAATGACCATAAACATTTCCTAAAATTAGAGTACAATTATTAATTTGGAGGACGCATATAATCCAATGTCCATTAATACTGTGTTTGATAGTGATTATTTTCCCTGGTAGGTTATTGAATAAAATTGCAACACCTGCCGATCTTGTTGTTCCATGTGAAAAAATAATTTTGTCTCCCCATTGAGCTGTCCAAAACTTTTCATCTAATTCATTTGAGTGAGTTTCTTGAAGTAATACACAATGACAACTTTTACTTTTGCAAAATAAAAATAAAGCCTTTCTTTTTATACTATTTTGAAGACCTCTGGTATTAATTGTCAAGAGTTTTAAATTACATTGCAAAGACATTTTCATTCACACACACACACACACACACACACACACACACACACACACACATTCATTCGGGTGAAAACAATAACAGTAAACTTTTAACTTTTTTTAACTAACTCAAACCTAGGGAGGTCCCTAAAAGTATTGTATTTGTTGTCCTCCAATTTCAAGTGTTTAAGAAAAGGTGAAAATAAAATGTTCAATTTGAACTCTGAAAAGAACTACAACATTTCACAATGAACTGTGAGAGAGAGTAACAGCTTCCATTCAAAATGAAAAAGTGGAACTTTTTTTTCTTCCCCTCTCTTTTTCTATTAACTAGCCTACAAAGTGGCTGACCTCTTACATTGCTGTATTTAAGCAGTAACTACACGCCCATCAATGACTGCTAAGTGACCTTTGTAAAAAGCCACCTTACCCAGAGACCTAGCATGTTTTATTTTAGGCCATAGTTGTTCTCTCGTCAGTCTGTCTTCCTTGGTGAAGTCCTGGACGAAGCGGACCCCTCGCTCCTGGCAGACTTGTGAATTTTTAGTCATCTTCCATACCGCATCCCGATGAAGTCTCCTCACAAACTGCATGATGACCTGGCGACTCCTTCCATTTTCTTTCTTGCCCACGCGATGCACCGAGTCAACCATGTCGCCGATTTTGTCATCCCACTGTGGAAAAATCTTCAGCAGAAGCTCTTCGATTTTCTCTCTGATGTTTTCTCCTTCCTGTTCCTTGAGTCCTGAAAGTCGCAGGTTACAGTGGCGTTGGTAACGTTCAGCCTCAAGCACCTTTTCTTTCAGTAAGACATTTTCTTTCTTCAGGTCTGAGTGGTCTTTCTTCAAAATGTCAATTTTGGATTTGCATTCCAATGGGATAGAAAGATGACTGCCTGAAGAGAACGTAAATTTTCACAGTCATTGATGATATGGGGCTGCACGTCAGTCAAAGGCACTGGGAAGATGACTGTGGTTAATTCTTCCATCAATGCACAAGTTTACGTGGATATTTTGGACACTTTTCTTATCCCATCAATTGAAAGGATGTTTGGGGATGATGAAATCATTTTTCAAGATGATAATTCATCCTGCCAAAGAGAAAAAAATGTGAAAACATTCCTTGAAAAAAAAGACACAAAGTCAATGTCATGGCCTGCAAAAAGTCCGGATCTCAATCCAATTGAAAATCTTTGGTGGAAGTTGAAGAAAATGGTCCATGACAAGGCTCCAACCTGCAAAGCTGATCTGGCAACAGTAATCAGAGAAAGTTGGAGCCAGATTGATGAAGAGTACTGTTTAACACTCATTAAGTCCATGGCTGCAGCTGTTAGAAAAGCCAGAGGTGGTGTAACAAAATACTGATGATGTGTTCTTTTATTTGTTTGTTTTTCATGGTTCCATACTTTTTTCCTCAGAATTGAGTGATTCCATATTTTTTTTCTTCTGCTTGGTCTAAAAAAAATTAACCATTACTGACTGCCACAATTTTATTTCTTGATTTCTTTTAGTGTTTCTTAAAGCCAGAAAGTTGCCATTTGAAATGACTTTAGTTTTGTCTCATGTTTGTGATCTGCTTTTTTTCTACAAAATTAAACAACTATATGAACATCCTCTGAGTCCGGTGATTCCATCATTTTTGCCAGGGGTTGTATATGTTTGTATATTTTTAAGTACTACCAGTTACTATATCTATTGTTTATCATATATTCACTTGACCTCCAAACACCTCAGCAGGTTCAGAAGATAGAAAATAGCATTAGAACAACAAAGCTTGTGTAAAGGGAATCGGTCTCACTGTATGTGTTTTCTGGTTAAAATATGTTTGTTCTTCATTCAGTGAAGTAGAATTTTAGGAAATTTATTCAAGTAAGGGTAGCAGAATTGCTCGAGTTGGTCCAACCCCCATTTTTTTGTTGTTCAATGTTGTTAATTTTTGTTATCGTTCACAACTAAAATAAGTAACAGTTTATAAAAGAAAATACCAGAAAGGCAATATGTATGTACCAAATTACTTTGATTCTCTGCTTCTATCATTGTATACAACTTTAAATGGGTTAAGCTGTAATTAACGAATGTAATGGAAATCTGTCTTTCTAAATAAAAAAAGTAAAAATAAAAAAAGTAAGGGTAGCAGTACCTCAGGATATTATTACTCAAAGTAAAAAGTATGTTGTAGTAAAACTACTACTTCAAGTTGTCTTTTTGAAAAAGGTACTCAAGTAAATGTAACTGAGTAAATGTAACTAGTTACCCACTTCTGACCCACACAAATATAAAGATTAAAACTAAAACCTAAAATCTAGTCCCCCTTGAATAAGGACAAACCAGGTGAAACCAATGTTCTTAATATTAGGATGCAGAGTCTCTGGAAGTTATTTTATTTAAAAACTAAATAATTTTAAGGGAGGACACCTTCAGACAAACAGGTCTGAAGGTGATTCCCTAACTTGTGTATTGCAGTATTTTTCAAATAATACAACAAGTTGACAACAATATAACATATCTCCCGCAGTTCTGTTCTGGCTTTTGGTTTCAGTGGCCCCCACATGATTGCCCCATCAAAAAAATTCTGGAGGCACCACTGTCCTAGGCTAATTTTAGGGTACAAAGCAATTCTTCAATTAAACAAAAACATTCTTCAACTATTGTGAAGTTTAATACAAAAATATCAGGAGTAAAACAGACCAAGGGACCCCATAACTATTCAGATTTTCAAAAGGCAAGCTTACAGTAGTGATCACACTTAGCATGGTTCAAAAGATGTCTGTCAAACTGTTAATGCTTAATCATGTTGATTTAAAGTTTGGTTTTAATTTTGTATCTTTGTTTTGTTCAGGACTTCTTTTGGGGCCACAGCCCCACCATTCATCGACTACTTGAAAGGTATTCTGCGCCGATATCCAGACGGTGGACAGATTTTGAAGGTTGGTGTATTCAAATTCTGATGGCAACAATTACTTTTCATACTCTCTCAGCGAATTAAACTGAGCAGCTCAGAGGATTGGAATATTAGCTAAAGAATTTTTTCTCAGGTTTTATGTCAAGATCTTTGGTAAATCTAATTTTTCAGGCGATTCCTGTCAGATACGGTTTATTTGCTGTACACTTATTTTTCGATATTTGCTCTTTTTATTGCCCTCTCTTCAAACGTTTTAAGAACATGTAGAGCTATGCTGAGTTTTTAGCATGTTGCTCTTTTTGTGGATCTTCATACTAGTTTGGTCTAACTGTGGTTTATTTGGCATTTTTATTTAATTTAAGAAATAAAAAATAGGGGAAAATGTGCTATTTTGACTGATTGCTAATAATAAAGAGCCAAAAAGTACTATTTTAAAATGTATTTTTCTGCCAATTTTCCTGTTGTGTTCTGTCACAAAACAGGTTCATTGTGCCAGGCTTACTTTTTAATTTTAGGTTTTATTTATGAACAGGAACTGATTCAAAATGCAGATGACGCCAAAGCCACAGAAGTGCTTTTCATCCACGATGAGAGGAGCTACGGGACCAAGAGCCTTTGGACTAAAAAGCTTGGAAAATACCAAGGTAATTAATATTTAAAGTTCAACTTGCTTTTAACAGATTTGTTATGGTTTTATTGGTCAAAAGTTACCTGCAGGATAAGTTTCACACTGAGCACCATTCAGACCAATATATGAAACACGGACTGTTTACCTTTCTAACCAACCGGCTACTCAAAGCTCTTAGCTACATAATATGTGCCCTCATTCAATCAAAATCACCCATCAAGCTGTAGGAATTTTATCACTTTAAACTTTGACTGGGGAATAATCACAATTTGATGACATTATATTTTAAATTTACAACTTATAAACTTCCTTGTCACTACTTGAACGTTAAAAACCACGTGACTAGGAATAAAACAGGCAAACAAAATTTGTGTAAAACCTGTCATTTATGTTTGATCATTAATTGCATTGATTAAAGAAGAGTTATGTCACAATCTAGTTCCAAATTGAACAAATTTAGATAATCTAAATCCCTCAAAATATTTCTTATAATTCTGTGTACAATTCAAATTTTCAGATATTTTATGATAAACTACAAACATTTAGTGTCACTTTAACAGAAAGAACGTGAGGTACTTTATACAACACTGCCTCCTCTTAGGATGCTTTAAGGCCATAAACATCCTTCTGTAGGTTCATCTGTTCAGGCAACTGGTTCAGAAAGTTCTGCCAGCTTCTGTAACTCAATATTCTTTTTCAAACTCACTCTGACAAATGCAATTTATTTACTTTAATGAGCACTGCTGACAAACTTCTTCCACGACCCAAAATGTTGGCAGCTGCCAGTCAGTCATCAATGGACACAACTCAAAACTAACAATACATATTCTGATTGGTCAGACCTTGAGAGCCTACGTGGGTTACTATTAGTTTGAATCAGTCAACGACCACAAAGATGCATGTTTAAAGGGGCAATATTATGTGTTTCTCAGGCATACATTTAAATACTATACCATAATAAAGTATCTATGTCACCTTTGGCTGTTACTAAAATGCTGTTTTTATGTTTAAATAGAAAATAAACTTATCTTCTCATCACTTCCTCTTCTAAACGCCTTGAAATTGGCCTCTGTCTCTTTAAGAACCACCTTCGCTTCTGACATTTCGGTGGGGGGGGCTGCTATGATGCAGTTTACTTGGCATCTGAAAATACATTTCCTCAAAGGTATTTTTAATCTGAAAAGAGCTTCACTGAGTGAGAACTAATGGTGAGAGCTCAGCAGACAGTTTAAGTTTCACTTTCAGTTTCACCGAGAGCCTGCAGGAGTCATGGGCGGGGTGTGTGGGGAGGGAGTGGGGGTGCTCTGCCATGAGGAAGTTCGACTTAAAGACACATCGCAGGGGCGTTTCTGGTCCCCACCTGTCGTTTTGCTCCTCAGCGTGGCTGCCTAAAAACGTTGCAGGATTTCTCAAACATGCATGAATGAGTCAAAGCAAGGATTTGGGCATGTTTTTTTATGAGAGTATAACATTATAACATGGTATAAAACTCAAAAAGGTTGATTTTACATGATTGCCCCTTTAATGACTAACAGAAAATGTGACAAGTCATAAAAGTATAAGTTTATCAGCTCATCCTGTGACCTCAAAATAATACCCTCCACCCCCACCCACCCACAATGCTGTAGTCCCTTGGGCTTTGGCCCAGGTAAGCCTGTGCTTTAAGGCAGCCCAACATGCAGTTATAATTCTTTTGAACCACTGTTAGTGAAATTGCCCCTATGTTGAGAACCTAAAATCAGAGCAGTAATTTCTTCAAGTCAAGCTGGGATTTCAAAATAAGCAGTTACAGTAATTACACATAACACATTTTTCCCCTCTCCAAAGGTCCTGCTCTCTACGCCTACAACAATGCAGTTTTTACTGATGAAGACTGGGACCGAATTCAGAAGGCAGGAAGAAGTGGCAAGGTCAATGACCCGGACAAAATTGGGAGATTTGGAATTGGCTTCAACTCTGTTTATCACATAACTGGTAAAACTTGTGCATTGTAACAGTACTTTTAGTCTAACCATCTGAGTTTGAAATATATTTTTAGAGATTCTGAATGTATATAATGGGAAAATGTGCTTGATTTTTACCCACAGATGTGCCAAGCATATTCAGCTCAGGGCACCTTGGCTTGATGGACCCTCAAGAAAAGATTTTTGGAGAAAGAAAAGGAGGGTTTTTGTGGTCTTTGGATGACGCTGAGCACCAAAAAGCTCTGATGACAATGCATGATCAGTTCCAACCATACAGAGACATTGTTTCAGTTGTAGGGCGAGAATGGTCGGATGTCCTAAAGGATCAGTACTTTGATGGGACAATCTTCAGATTTCCTCTGCGCAATGTGACATCAGAAATTTCAGATAATTTGTATGATTCAGAGAAGGTGGTGGAGCTTTTTGATAGCTTCAGTGCAGATGCAGATTTGAGCCTCCTCTTCTTGAAAAGTGTAAGCTCTGTGTCCCTGATACATATTAATGTTGATGGCACCGTTAACACAAGGCTTGAAGTAAAATCTTCAATCCCCACAACAGTCCATTTAAAGTTAGAAGAGGACTCAGCCATTGAGGGTTTGACAAAGTTTAAACTTATAACCATCAAGTCAGAAGACCACAAAGAAACAAACTGGCTCATCACCACATGCACAATGAAGGAGGGTAATGATAAAAATCTCGACTCTCTTGCAAAAAAGTTGAGTTTTCTACCCCGTGTTGACGTGGCATTTCCCACTGATGTGAAGAGAGACTGCAGTCAGGGTAGACTGAGCTGCTTTCTCCCCCTCCCAAACAACGAGTCCAACAAAACTGGTCTCCCAGTTTGTGTCAACGCCTGCTTTGGCCTCACAGACAACAGAAGACACATCAAGTGGCAAGAAGAGGACCAGAAACACGATGAACATGCTCAGTGGAATGAACTGCTGGTGAAGAAGGTGCTCCCACAAGCATATGTAATGATCATTCAAAATGCCATCAAACTTTGCCAACAGTCTCTTCTTCCCATCTCATCTGTGTACAGTCTATGGCCTGATATTAGTCAGGTACAGCTCAAAGACAAATGGCAGGATGTTGCTCTGGATGTTTTTCATCACTTACTAAGCCAGAACATGGCCGTCCTGTCTCTTGCCAGAGATGAAACAAAATTTATTCCTTTATCAAAGGCCGTGCTACCCTGTAATGGTCCAACAAGCACTGACATGCTGGCTGCCATTAAAAGGACTTTGGTTTCATGTGGAGAAAACCTTGTTACTCTACCAGCTAGAGTTCTTCGAGCCATTGAGACCTATCCTCACACAAGCCCAAAACATGTGACTCCAACCTTCCTCAGAGACATTCTCCACAGGACCGGTGTGGCTAACATCAGTAAAGAAGACAAACTCTTTCTTTTGGAGTACATATTAAAGGATGGAAAATATAAAGAATTGAGGGGTCTTCAGCTACTTCCACTTAGTGATGGTTCATTCAGATCTTTCACTGACAGAGATGAGGACACGGCCTTAATTGACAGCAAAAAGTTTCCAAGGTATTGTTATATTTTCTTTATCGTGTCTGAGATCTGATTGTTAAAWTTTTCATGACCTATCTTGACGGACCCATTAACCACCATGTCACTCATTTTAAACAACTTTTTCTGAATGATAAATTGTCTCAGAAATTATTGCAATAAATTATAATATTTTTTGTAGATTATTCTAAACTAATATAATGATACCACACACACACCACACCCCCGCTTAGTTCTAAACTAACTGAATCTTTGTGGTAGTGTACCCGGTACATGAATTTAGCCCTGTGATGAACTGATGATTGGCTTAAAGGTGCACACAACTTCTCTTGGAACTGACACCTGCTTATGTTATTTTTATTATTTTCTTTAGCTTAATTTATTAATATGAATTGGCATAATTATTTAATACACGCTTGTAAGAATCTAATGATTACACATCTGTCATTTAAAGTTGGAGCGTAAATTTTAGAATTGTGTTTGTGACCAAACCTTTTCTCTGTTTATCTACATTATGAAAGTGCCAAACACATTACATCAGTCTGTTTTAGGCTTATCTATGTACTGTTCAGGTATTAGATGGTGACATGCATTTGTTGAATGAATAAATTAACCAGTTTATCATTTTTTTTCCTCCAGAACCTTGATGCCATTCTGCAAACACCTCTTCATTTCAAATGACCTTAGTTCAGGATGCAGAAGCCACTTGGAAGAACTGGCCAGACAAAGTATGTTTTTCATAAAATTAAAAACAAAATAACTACAAGTATGCCTGTGTGTATTTGTGTTCTAACATGATTTTGGTATTTATTTGCTTTTCAGATTTATTCTGCGTCATCAATGTTAATGCTGACTATGTGGTGGAATATACACGAAGGTATTTGCCACAGGAATGGAAGCAGGTGAGGTCAGCATTCGTGACATGGAACATCAGCAACAGAAATCATCCACCATTAGATTGGCTCAGAGAAATCTGGAAGTTTTTCAACTCTCACTTCAGCGAGTTAAGTGGTTTCACAGAAATACCTCTGATTCCTGTCAGTCCCCTCTCTACCAGTCAGCCTGTTTTACTGGCAAAACTAAGACAAAAAACAACTCTGATTTTTCGGAACGGAAGGCAGAGTAGTTTGCCTGAACCAATAGCTCAGGTGGTGACCAAAGCTGGTGGCACAGTGGTGACAGGAAATGAGTGGCTCAAGCACGAAGACCTTGAAACGTATGTCTTGAATCCATCTCCAACAAGTGTCCTGAAGTTGTTGATGAATTTAGACTCTCAGCAGCTGATCAGAGTCATAAAGTCTGAGTCTCACAAATCACAAAAAGAAGTAAAAGATTACCTGTCCCTTCTGACTCATATCTCAGGCAAAGAGAAAGATTTCCTCCTAACATTACCCCTATTTCAGACCATGAAAGGATCCTGTGTCGGAGCTCAGTTGAAACAGGCACTGCTTCTAATGTCCTCTCCGACTGTACCCACAGAGCTGCCCATGCCTGATACAGTTATCCAGTGTGCTACTGAGGTTGACCGCAGACTGTTACAACTACTCAAAGTTAATATCTTGAGTCCAGCAGAAGCAGCTGTTGTTCTTATTAACTGCATTGAAAAAGGTACCTGCAGTAATGAAGAAACTGAAAAAATAATGGTTTGGATTTTACAGCATGGTAGCATCCTTTTCTCTCAACACCAGTCCCTAAAACACAGATGCAGGGATCTGAGATTCATTAAAGTCAATGGAGAGCTGAAAAAGACTGCAAGCTTCTTTGATCCAAGAGTTAAAACCCTCAGAATCATTTTTGAGTCAGACTTCTTCCCCCCGCCAGTGTACACCAAAACACTACAGATGATGGAAAGCTTGACAGACCTTGGATTGATGAACAAAGAGTCAGATGTGACACTGGAACATTTGTTGCATGCCACAAGACAGATTGAAAATCTTCATGTGAACTCTAGAACAGAGGCTTTCAAAAGATCTCACACCATCTTGGCATTGCTGGATGCTAATGATATTCTGCCAAAAATTTCAAATGGGCTTCTTAATCAGCTTAAAAGGATAAAATGGGTCCCATGTGATCAACCTGGCACTGACAAAAAACAGCTTTGTGATAAAGCTCTGAAAAACTGTTTCTACAGCCCAGATGAAATAAGACACACTATGTATGAGGACATTGTTGGATATGTAATGCCTCTAATGGGGAAACTTCGTGACAAAGTAAGCACCAGACTCGGCCTCAAACGTCCACCTCCTCCTGACAAGGTGATTGAGAACTTATCAGTGCTAAAATCAAAAGCACAGGAAATGACTGATCCTGACAAAAATGTGGATTTCAAAAGAAAGTTAAATAGTATTTACAGACACATGCAAGAAAACACATCTGAGTTTGGGGAGTTGATGAACAAGGAGCCTTGCTGGCTGTGGGCCCACAACCACTTTGTTTCTCCACAGACCCTGGTTCTTGACTACCCACCTGATCTAGATCTGAGCTCTTTCATTGCAAAGGTGCCAAATGAGTTTTTGCCATTCAAGAAATTACTTCAGGAGTTTGGTCTGAGAAAATCACTTACAAATGAAGAAATTGTTGACATTCTTCTTTTGATTAAGAAAAACATAGACAAAAGGCAACATCCATTTGCAAGTCCAGCTGAGGTAAAAGTGTCCATAGAAATTCTCAACTGGCTGTGGAGAAAAAAGCAAACAGTTTGGGATGACATCCCAGTGCCAGTCATCATAGAGGGTGAAAATGTCACTCTCAAACCAAGGTCAGAAGCACTTTTCTGTGATGTAGGCAAAAATAGACTGAACGAGCTTCAATTCAGTCAAGACGAAATCAATGTCTTGCATGAGGAAATCCCAACTGCAACAGCTGAATGGTTACAAATAAGATTCCTCAGTAACCACATCCTTGCTCCAGAGTTAGTGGGAATTGAACAGTGTGGACAATTTGAGCCAATAACTTTGAGAATAAAAAACATTCTTAAAGAGTATGATGAAGATGGGGACATCTTCAAAGAGCTCATTCAGAATGCAGAAGATGCTGGAGCTAATGCCTGTAAATTCTTGGTTGATTTCAGAGTCCACCAGGATCCTCCAGAAAGTCTCATTGATCCTGAAATGGCCCTTTGTCAGGGACCATGTCTTTGGTCCTTTAATAATGAGCAATTCACAGATGAGGACTGGGAAAATGTTGTCAGAGTTGGCTCCGCGTCAAAGGAAAACAAAGTGGAAAAGATTGGAAAGTTTGGACTTGGATTCAATACTGTGTATCATGTGACAGATGTTCCCTCCATTCTCAGTGGCAGTAGACTTCTCATACTTGATCCAAATGTAACTCACCTTAAGAGGCACATTCAGCAAAAAACAAATCCTGGAATCAAACTGGATCTCTCTCAAAAGAGAATTTTTGATTGTTTTCCAGGACAATTTGGACCATATGAGGGCATTTTTGACTGTAATTTCACAAGAAGTCCCCCAGAACCCTTTACAGGCACCCTGATCAAACTGCCTTTCCGAAATGAAAGAGAGGCTGACAAGTCAGAAATTTGTTCAAAAATTTATCACAAACAGGATGTCCTTACCTTGCAGCAAAACTTTACAAAAAATTCACAAACCCATCTGCTTTTTCTCAAGAATGTCAAAATATTGTCTTTACAAAGTATCTCAAACAATGCATCAACTCCACCAAGAGATGAAGACATAAACACCATCCTGTCTATTTCCACAACTGATGTAAAGACTGTGTCAATTGCAAATGAAGCCTTGATATCCAAGCAACATGAAGCTGAGAAGTCACTGATGAAACGTGATGGTAAATGCAAAGAGATCATTGACAGCTGCACAATCCGCATTCTCCATATGACCATTCAGCAGAGTGGTACAACTGAAGCACAACACTGGCTTGTTTACAACTGCTTTGGGACAGAACAGTCTCTGGAAATTTACCTTCGAGAAAACAATAAATCCACATTCTCCTTGCCCATTGGAGGAGTTGCTGTGCCCTTGAAGGTAAGCCAAACAGATTTGGTTGGACGGGCATTTTGCTTCCTTCCTCTTCCCATTCACACAGGTCTTCCAATAAATGTAAATGGAACATTTGCTGTGATGAGCAACAGAAAAGGTCTGTGGGAAAATGGCCTGAAACATGAGTGGAACAAGGCTCTTCTTCAGGATCCCGTAGTGACAGCCTATGTTACTGCCCTTTTGACATTGAAGGAAATGTCTGAGAACAACGAACTGGAGACTTACTGTTATCATAGATTTTGGCCAGAGAGAGAAAAAGTGACTGATACATTTAAGCCTTTGGTGGATGCATTTTATATTGTCATTGCTCAACCTGCTGGCCCAGAGCTCTTCAGTGACGGAGAACACTGGTGCTCAATTAAAAATGCAATCTTTCTACATGAGAGCATTGAAGAACATAAAGCTATTGGTCCACTTGCAGCTCAAATGTGTAAAAAACATGCAAGTGCTGAAAACTGTTTTGTTTCTCTTCCACTGTGGTTGAGAAACAGTTTTAAGCAGGCTGGCCTGGCAAAGGTTTTACAAAACAGGACATGGAACTGGGAGATGTTTTATCAAGAAATTGTGTTCAAATACATCAATGAAATGGATCCTAAAATCAGAGACACTCTTGTTATCCATGCTATTGATCTCAATATGAAAGGAGTGGACAATCTTCTTGCCTGCTATCCTTGCATACCCACAACAGACGGAAGACTCCAGTATATTAAGAAACTTGTCAATCCAGCAGGGAAAGTGGCCTGTCTGTTTGAACCAGAGGAAGGACGCTTGCTTGGTGGAACCAAAAAGGACTTTCGTTCCCCCAAAAGGATTCAGCGCTTGTTGGAACTTGGAATGGCAAATGATCTTCTTTCACTGGAGGACATCACACAGAAAGCAGGCACAATAACTGACATCTGGAGTTTTGACAAAAAGAAAGCGTATGAGCATCAGACGTGCCTGCTTGACCTTCTGAAGAATCACATGGACGACAAAGACTCTGTCCACTGGAAAACACTGAGGATGACCCCGTTTCTCCCAGCATTTTCTTCAGGTGATATCAGAATGGAAAAAAATGCATCCCTTGAACGGCCCACAGACGTTTTCAGTGACAGATACACTCTGCTTGTGAACATGACACATCCAGTGTTGGATCACAGTGGTCTGAAAATGCACAACAATGATCCAGTTCTAGAACATCTGCGAGTTCAAACCAGTCCGGAGCCAGAGACAGTGCTTCAGCAGCTGCAAGAAGCATGTAAGAAATCACGAGAAATTGACAAATCTTTGCTTCACAAAATAGCATACGAGTGCTATAAATTTCTGGATCAATGGATCAGTGGAGGTAAAAATACCACTTCACTTTCACAGCGGGCAAAGTCATTCTCATTCATTTTGATTGGCGACAGATTTGTAAACATCAGCTGTGTGGCAGAAGATGAGCAGTTTGAAGCAAAACCTTATCTTAATGTACTTCCATCTGCCTTCACTAGTTTCAGGAACCTCTGGGAGACTGTGGGTGTGGAAAAGAAGTTCACTCTCACTCAGTTTGTCACTGTACTTCAGAAACTTCAATCTAAACATGAAAACAAACCACTGCCAGAAAAAGATTTGTCAATTTGTCTGACAATTTTAAGCAAAGGTTTATTTGAAGCCAATGAAAAAACAACTGCTGACTGTCTGATACCAAATGACCGTGGGATTTTACAGCCTGCAAAAGAGCTGTTTTACAATGACAGTCCATGGATGCCAGTAACTTCAGGTATCACTTTGTGTCATGCAAATATTCCACGTAATATGGCGTGCCACTTTGGAATCAAAACAACCAGGCATCACAGTCTGGAAAACCATACATATAAAATGGCATCATTTGCTTTCGGGTTTGAACAGCGTGAAGAACTAACTGTTCGCATCAAAAACATAATTTCAGCATATCCATCAAAAAAGGATATTCTTAAAGAACTAATCCAAAATGCCGATGATGCTGAAGCAACAGAAATTCATTTTGTTTGGGACAAACGACAACATGGCGAAGAGAAAACATTCGGGGAGAGATGGAACTCTCTGCAGGGTCCAGCCCTTTGTGTGTTCAATAACAGAGTATTTTCTGATGATGACTTGAAAGGCATTCAACAACTGGGAGAAGGAGGAAAGCAACAGCTAGAAGGGAAGATAGGTAAATATGGAGTTGGATTCAACTCAGTTTACCACTTGACTGACTGTCCTTCCATTCTCACTGGAGATGAATTACTTTGCATTTCTGATCCCAATCGAAAATACATTGAAAGTCATTCGGAAAAACCAAAAGCTGGCATTGGCTACAATCTAGATGATACATTCAAGGAGATGTACAAAGATGTCTACAACTCCTTTCTTCCAGACAAATTTAGACTTAAAGAGGGAACAATGTTCAGATTACCCCTGAGGACAAGTGCTGGAGCAAAAAGCTCCAGAATTTCAGAAAAAGATGTCACTGATGATGACATGAATGCACTTTGCACCGCCCTGTCTGAAGATCCAGAGGGACTAATTCTGTTCCTGAAAAACATCTGCAAAATAACACTTCATGAAATCAAGGAGAAATCAGGAAAACTTGAATCAATTTTTGTTGTTGAAAAACATCTGCCAAATGAAAGCAGTGGGAAAAAAGATGCATTTACGAAAAAACTACAAAGTGCACTACAATCAAGGGATCAAATTACCCCTGAAAATGTTTTCTATGAAACTAATATTTCTACCTCAGAAAAAAGACAAAGTGAATGGATCGTTGCTGAACAGTTTGGCTCATTCAAAGATAATGGTGGATCAAAACTACCAGACAGACTTCCACAGGGAGCAATCGCTGTTCGTGTTAGCACAGAAAGCTCCAACACATCCAAGTTCAGAAAAAAGGATTTTGAAGGTGCAGCTTTCTGTTCACTTCCCTTGCCTGGGAAAACTGGGCTGCCAGTACACGTTAATGGAAACTTTGAGGTGGATTCTTCCAGGAAAACCCTTTGGAAGGAAGATGGTGAAAGTATGAAACTGAAATGGAACAATGCTTTGAAACAAAACATCATTGCTCCACTGTATGCAGATCTCCTGCATTACATCAGAGACAGAATTGAAGTTAAAACAGATTCTCTTTCAAGTATTGAAAGAGATTTCAGAACTTCATACTTGTGTTTTTGGCCAATTGTGTCCAAGGATGTTGCTCCAGATTGGCAAGAAATGATACAAGAGGTATACAGATCCGTTAAAGAAAAGGGTCTTGATGTGATCCCAATACTGAGAATTTCTACCATTAAGCTTGCAGATCGGATATTTAAAGTGCACAACATTGACTGGTCTAACCTCAGTGAAAAAGAAACAATTCAGGCACCTTACTTGACAGACACAGCACATGATCAAATCAATTCTATTTTGGAAGACATTGGAATGAAACTGGTCCCTAATTTTGCAAACATGCATCAGATTTGGAATACTTTTAAAACAGCTGGAGTTGAAGTGAAAAGTGTCACTCCAGCCTCTGTGTGCACTTTCCTGCAAGCAAAACCTCTCAACGATCCAACACAAACAGACGAGGATTTACCTTTGCCTATAACTGCTACCCTGATCAGAGATGAAAAGAGATGTTCTGAACTCCTGAAGTTCTGCTTGAGTCATCCACAGTTGCTAAGTAATTCAGAGAATGAGGACCCACTGCTGAATGGGCTTCCACTTCTTCTCACAAAAGACACAATCTTAAGACCTTTTGACCCTAAATCTCAAAAGTTGATTTCAAGATATGACAGTCTTTTCTTTGGTTTTGAGGATGAATTTGCAGACTACAACATCTACAAAGATTACATTGATATTCTACAAACCTTTAAACTTGTTAAGAACATGACACTTCCCAGTGCAGTGAAATATCTCAAACCAATAATCCATCGTCTTCTCCAGACCTGTGAAGTTGACCGTGAAAGTGGTCTTCATGTTCCAAATCAAACTATGTTGAAATGGTTGGAGTCACTTTGGAGGTTCATTAAAAGTGAAATTCCACATGAAACTTCTACAGCTGGTGAACAAAGTTTGACAATAAGTGATGTGAGAAAGCTCTTCAGCGACTGTAACATTCTTCCTGTTGTCTGTCCAAAGTTAAACAACAAGCACCTCCTGCAAACAATGGAAGAGATGTCAAGTGTGATTCCGCATGCATTAGACGACCTATCAAAAATCCTGCTCAAACTTGGTTTTACAAAGCTTGACAATGTGTTTTTTAGGAAAACCTATGCAAGTCCGTTTTCAGCACTGCCTGCTGAGCTCATGAATGTGAATGATAAAAGTGCAGTGTTGAAACAAGTCTGCACCATTAACCACTCAAAGTTTTCTCACCTTTCCACTGACGATATGAAAACATTGCAGAACTTCCTGCAGTCTGGACTGTCCAAGTGTGAAAACCATCAAGATTATGAGTGGAAGTTTAGGTCCTTACCAATATTTCAAACAACACATGGAGAACGAGTACCGATTGATGGACTTGAAGTATTTGTTCTTAATAGCAAGCATTCAGTGGCATTTCCAAACCTATTCACCTTGTCCAACAGCAGCATTTTTCTCAAATGCAACCCAGAAAACCTAGCTCTTTCAGAAATGCTGAAGATTAAAATCCTGGATGATTTGGAATACTTCATGAAGTTCATTTTGCCTGCTGTACACAACCTCAGAGAGAAGGAGACTCTTGACCTCCTCAAACTGTTACTGATCCTACGTTATGACTACAATTTTTCACTGCACAAAGACAAAGTCATCTCATCCCTGAAGTCAGTGAAATTGATTCGCAGTTGTCAAGGTAAACTGGAGATGGCATCATACTTTTTTGATGATCAGGTTGAGCTTTACCAGAAAATGGTGCCCCAGGAAAAGTTTGTGCCAGATAAATTCTGGACGGACTTGTGTGAAGAACATCAAACTGGAAAAACAGAAGCAAAACAGTTAGTCCGAGAATTAGGAATGAAACATGTTGTCTCAACAGATGATATCATCAATTTTGCAACCCAAATAGAATCAGAAGCAAAAGGAAACAATAAAATTGTTCAGCTGCAAGAGAAATCAAAGTTGCTTTACAGGGAGGCTTTGAGAAAAGTGGCCAGTGACAAAGATGAAATGTTGCTGGAAAGAATCGCTGACGTGAAGTTCATTTTTCCAGTGAAGATTCAAAAAGAACTTTGCAGCTACCACCAACCTTATGCTTCAGAGGACACTGCTGTTCAAATTAGAGGATCATTGATCAATAGAGATCCTAAATATCAGGAGTTGATTTGGTCTTCTATGCCCATTATACAGCAACCAGTTCATTTCTCTCAGAAACTTTCACAAATGATGAAAAATGCAGGAGCTCATGAAGAACCACCTTCACAAAATGTAATCAGCAACTTGAGCAACATTTGTCAGTCACCATGTGAGACTGAGCCGCTGATTGAAACCCGTGCCAATGTGTTTCGACATGCTTATGGCTACCTGCAGGCCAATAAGTTTGATGAAAAGAAACTGATTGGTTTTCCCGTAGTCTTGGTTGAAGAAGACACAGCACTTTGTAAAGCTGATGATGTGTGTCTTTCCCTTGAACACGATCTTGATTTCAGACCATACTTGTACAAAATTTCCCCAAAAGATGCATTGTATGCAGAGTTCTTCAAGAAGATTGGTGTAAAGGTTGAAGCCACTGCAGTGCATTATTGTAATGTTCTGGCTGCTGTATATGCTGAATCCTGTGATAAACAACAACTAAATGCAAACCAGCCTAAGACTGTAAAACGAGCAGTTCAGCAGGTGTTTCGCTTAATCAAAACTCAAGAAAACCAGGCCTTTACTGATGTTCAGACTTTGTACCTTCCTGCAGTAGATGGGAAGTTGTACTCATCATGTTCACTCTACTACAATGACACAGTGTTTGAGACTAAAAGGTTGGAAGAAGCTCTTAAAGATAAGTTCTTGTTGCTTGAGAAACTCAGTAAATGTCTTTTGAGCTTTGACATCTACGAACACCATCGACTGGTGCAGCGGTTGCCTCATAAATTTCGACCTAAAATATTGTCTCAGATCACAGAAGAGAGATTGGTGGAACAACACATGCAGCTTTGTGAACTTGGGACTGGTTGTGACTTCAGTGGGTGGTTTGAAAAACATCTGTCTTCAGGTGTATTCCGACATGGAATAATTTGTCTTCTCAGAGAGCAGTCTCAGGGTCAAATAACCAAAGAAGAAGAGAATGAAATGTGTGACAAGATTTTTGGCAGCATCCAGATCATCTGCTGTAAAACTTTAGAAACAATGCTTTGGTTGGATACCCACCCACTAAACCAAACTACCAGGGAAACAGATGTTTTCATCAAACGAGAACAACAAGGTTGTGCCTTTTACCTCAAACACAGTGATGACATGGCTCCTAAAGTGATCAATGAAGTTAACATGTCTTTAACGAAAGAGATCAATATTCTTTTAGGTCACAGAATTGAATCAGTACACCTCTCGGTTGTTGGACAACTTCTAATGTGTGATGACCTACAGGATGTTCAGAAAACTCTGGCCAGGAATCACATCCGTGACAGTTCTGAAACTGAAAGCATCAATCTCAATCCACCAGATCCTGGGACAGACATTCCAGAGGAATGGCATGATTCATTAGACATGAGCTTCCTTAATAACTTTGAAGAGGGGGAATACATTGGCTACAGTATCAACAACAAGTACATTTATGCAGTTATTGTTGAAGAGCTTCCTGGGGAATCTAGAAGATGTTACAAGAGGTACAAAATAGATATTGGAGAGGATGAGCCAGTTGAAGTCGGCCATCTTGACCTCTATCAGTTTAAACGAGAAAAGAAAGTAAAAGTAGATGAGACTTCATGCACATCTTCCATGGAGCTGGTGACATGTATAGGAGCTGTGCCACATTGTTCTCAACCCTCAAGTTCCAAACCCTCACCAAGTTCCAAACCCTCACCAAATTCCAAAACCTCACGAAGTTCCCTACCAACCTCCTTAGATGAAGCCAAAAGGGAGATTGACAAATGTCTGACTGAGCTCTGGAGTCTTCCTGAGGAAGAGAGAAGAAAAGGCATCAAGAGACTTTATCTTAGATGGCACCCCGACAAAAATATTGACTGCCCTACACTCGCCACAGAAGCATGTAAATATTTGCAGAATCGCATTGATGAGCTCACCCATGGCAAAAGACAACAAACCACATCAACAAACTCCTCCTACTCCAGCAGAGCATCAAGTTACAGTAACTTCTACAAGCAGTGGGATGACGAGGCTAGGCATCACAGAAGAGGACGAGAAAGATTCTCTAGGGGCTTCTATTCCTACAACTTTTGGTCCCATAATACAAATATTCCAAAGCCGAACAAAGAGGAGGCCCAGCGCTGGTGTAAACAGGCACGCTGTGATCTTGACGCAGCTCAGGAAGACAAAAGTGGAAAAAACACAGAATGGTGTCTCTTTAAAATCCATCAGGCGGTTGAAAAGGCACTCATTGCTGCAGAGTATAAACATCAAGGCCAACACGCCACCAACACCTCAATTTCTGGCATTGCAGCAAAGGTTTCACTCTACCACCCTAAACTGAGAGACCTGTCTCAAATTGTGAAACATCTGATGGAACTGGGAGTGGATGCCAAAAAGACTCAATACCCCAACTGCCATCCCTATCCTCACATTCCTAATGGACAGTTCAGGCTAGAGAATGCAATGCTAGCACTGAACAAAGCATCTGAGCTTCTCGGTAAAATAGAAGAGTATGTAAATTAGATGTGGGGGGAAAAGGTTTATGGAGTAAACTTGTAATTTCTGTACTGTAGTATTGAAAATCAGTTGATCTTTTTTATTTACAATTGAACATATAAGACTGATAAATTCTAAATATCTTTCTTTTGAAACGGTAAAAATCAAAGCATGTTTGAAAATGTTGGATACTATGACTCTTTGAGAACCAGTGTAATCACTCTAATCAATGTTTTGGTTAATCCTTTACAAAAAAAACTACTTTCATTTTAAGACTTTCTAAGAGAATTTGTGTGGCTTTGATGTAAAAAGGTAAATGTGTTGACTTACTGAAAAAAGTTACAATAAAACATTCCCATAGTTTAAGAATCTTTAAACCCACTGAACAATATTTAGTTTATCATCCTCAAAATGTGACTTATTTTTGTCATTATTGCATTATCAGTATTCATGCAAAAAATATTATTTTCTATGTTTTACTTTTTTATGATTATTTGTGTTTGGTTTTGAACCCACTGTAAACTGGACCAGTTTTACTTTAGTTGTTTAAAACTGAACATTATTTTATGTATTTGTTCCCCAAATTTTGGCCAGATTTACAAGGACTAACTACATTTTCTGTATTTTCTTTACTTCAAGATTGTGTTTTCACTTTCACTGTTCACTTTTGAATTAAAATTTCTGAAACCAAAATCTAAAACACCCGTTTCTGTCATATTTTCATATAAAATGTTTAGTCCCTAACCCTAACCTAACCTTACTTTTTCAGATTTAGTATATGTACATCCTATTCATAAATTTTGATTTTTGATTTATTTATTTATTAAGATTTTTATGAAAAGTAGTGTTAGTGTTATCAGACTCACCTCATTAGTCATATCTTTCCTCTTTGTTAGTTAAATGCCAGTTTTGGCCCATTGTTCAGTTTTGCTGCCACGTCAGCATTTTGTTTGGCCTTTTTATCATAAAGAGCTCCTTACTTCTTGCATTCTGGGGTGCAGCCTCCAGCCGATGGTACAACATAAATGATTACATATTCTTTTGGGTATAGTTGTGAAGTGTGATCCATATTGTCCTAAAAGAGTTCCCATAATAAAAAGATGCTGAGAAGGCTTTCTTTCTTCTTCCCGAATGGGGAATCTTTAAATCAATTTTGTCTGTTAGAGAGAAATTCACAAATATGGCAGAATTAGTTTTTATTTGGAGTCTCATGTTGTCTCCTCATCAAAAATAATTTACACAAAATCTGTACATACTTACAAGGCTGGAGCCTGTCTCTTAGGGGAGCAAAAAAAGAGCAACATACAAAGTAATATCACAAATCAAGCTGGTCTGAGACTATTAGACACTTGCTCCATGTGATTCTAGGTCTCATTTAACCTAATGGCACTGAAAATGAAGCTACAACCTGAAACAATATGTTCATGGAGTTTATGTTGTAAAGGCTGATGTTAGAATAAAGTATATTTATCTTAGCATCTAAAATGTATAAAGATACCTAACCTCTGTCTGCATATCCGCCTTATCCAGCTGCTGATAAATGTGAGCTGAAATAAAAACAGGCATCTTAAAAACACTTAAGGCTTCGGTTAAATCCTTTAGCTCACTGCTAACAGAAGTCTGGGATTAAATTCCTCCCCATCGCTCGAGTTTGATTGGCACTTCCTGTATGTGGTCATTCAAAGTAACATCATCAACATCACACATATGACATGTTCACATAAAACAATGATTGTTCTTACATTTCAGGATGTAAGAAAAATAAATGAAACGGAGTCGCATTAACATTTTTTTAAACAAATAAAGTAATAGTTGGAAGAGTGGCTTCATTACATGATGTGAGATGCTGCTCAATGTGAGTCACAAGAAAATAAACAAACCCGAGTGTCACACAGTATGCTCACAAATTGAACATACAAAAAGCTGAGAAATGGCTCTACTATCAATAAATATCTTTTAAAATCACTGATGACAAAAGAAATGTGTCATTTTTCTTAGTAGAGCTGTCAACCTGGAATCTGCATTATATATATATATATATATATATACATCAAAATAAGGTATATGTTATATTTAAAAAGCAGCTACAGATTAATGATGTTTTTACAGCTAATTAAATGTTGACATAGATACACATAAGACTAAAAACACAAAGTGTTGTTTTTTTATAAGTTTGTCAGTTTAACGATTTAATGAACAGTAAATATTTATACAGATCAATGAGGCTTTCAGAAAAATTGTATTAATGGTGAAATTTAAAAGAATTACGATAATAATCGATAAGAGATGATTATCTTTTTCAAAACTGAGAGCCTTTGAAACTGCATTATAAAATTAGTATTTTGTAAATGAACGGTTATTGAAAAAAAGTTCTGTAAAAAAATAATATTGCAAAATTCTAAACATCACTGGAGCAGTTCGCAGCCGAGTGTGAAGCGGTCGGGATGAAGATCAGTGCCTCCAAATCTGAGACCATGGTCTTGAGCTGGAAAACGGTAGGCTGCTTTCTTCAGGTCGGGCAGGAGGTCCTGCCCCAAGTGGAGGAGTTTAAGTATCACGGGGTCTTGTTCACAAATGAGGGAAGAGAGAGAGATCGACAGGCGGATTGGTGCTGCATCTGCAGTGATGCGGGTGTTGTACCAGTCTGTCATGGTGAAGCGGAAGCTGAGCCAGAAGGTGAAGCTCTTGATTTACCGGTCGGTCTACGTTCCTACCCTCATCTATGGTCACGAGCTTTGGGTAGTGACTGAAATAACGAGATCGCGGATACAAGCAGCTGAAATGAGTTTCCTTCACAGGGTGTCTGGGCTCTCCCTTAGAGATAGGGTGAGAAGCTCAGTCATCCAGGACGGACTCAGAGTAGAGCCTCTGCTCCTGCACATCGAGAGGAACCAGTTGAGGTGGTTCATCTGGTTAGGATGCCTCCTGGACTCCTCCCTGGTGAGGTGTTCCGGGCACGTCCCACTGGGAGGAGGCCCAGAGGAAGACCCAGGACACGCTGGAGGGACTATGTCTCTCAGCTGGCCTGGGAACGCCTTGGAGTTCCCCCAGAGGAGCTGGTCCAAGTGGCTGGGGAGAGGGAAGTCTGGGTCTCTCTGCTTAGGCTGCTGCCCCCATGACCCGATCCTGGATAAGCGGCAGAAAACAGATGGACGGACGGAATTCTAAACATTTCCCATAATTACAAATGAACTAAATGTATTTTGGTTAACCATAGTTCACTCAAATGGCTCTACAAAGGCCAGGCTGCTGATTTATTCCATAAAATAACAAAATAAATATAAAAAATAAAAACACTGCATTCTGCATGACTCACATTGTTCAGTCACTCATATCAATGAATGACAGCAAGCAAAAATACCACAAACTCGCCTTCTAACACCACAGCTCTGTGCTTCTTTGTTGCAGCATCAATATGATCTGAACAGAAAGTAGGTGTGCAGCTGTACTGTGAGGACTTGCTCATAAAAATCTGTTTTCTATGAAAAGCAAAAGGACCTGTAATTTACACAGGAAGCTCCGTAAACATAAACATTTGTTTTAACCATGGTCTGCGTACTGGCTTCAGTTCTATTCTATGGCACAAGTGCACTCTTAACATTCATCCTTTTAGACAAAATAAACTACATTAATGGCACACTGTAGTATCATATAAACCTTCTGCTGTGCTGCTTTCAGGTGTCCACACTTTAAGGAATCAGGAATTCAAAAATACATCCGTTAAAGACAAATGCCCTTAAAAATAATATTCGCTGATGAAAAATAGAAATCATAGGAGCGCCAGGTGTAAGGTTTGTGTCAGTCTTATACCTGCTGTAAGTTTTCTGGATGTTTCTACCCATACTTTCATTTCTTTGTGTGCTGAAAACAGAGCAGCTCATTGTCTTTCAGTCGACTCCTCACTGACACTKAACAGTCCTGTGCTGAGACACATGAAAGGTGGGGGGCTGGGGTGACCCCCCTGTAGCTGGGTCCTCACATGTTGTACGCCACATATATGGGGTCCAGCTGGTCGGCCAGAAACCCATCTCTGAGGTGCATGCGCTGCTTCTCCCCTCTGGAGTTGATGGGTATGACACCAGGGTCCACCACTACCACCACACCCACGATGAGGTAGTGCTCCTCCAGGACTACGTTGGTCACCAGGGCCACCAGGTCCAGGGCCTCCTGCTCCGATCCCTCCAGCTCCACCACCACCACCAGGAGGTTGGTCCAAGTGAATACCGCACTGAGTGAAGAGGATGAGGAGGAAGATTCATAAAGGGAAGCAATAAGAATAAGTGTTTGCAGCCGGTACAGGTTTATTACCACTCAGCTATGCTCTTGTGAGAACGGATCACAGAAGTCTCGATGTCGATGGGGTGATACCTCATTCCCCTCAGCTCCAGAGTCTCATCAAGAGAGCCCACCACGTAGAGGGCGTCATGGCGCTCTGAGGTGTTCACACAAACACAGGGTGTTTATCTTAAAATAAATATGTTGAAGGAAGGAGGGAGGGAGGGAGGGAGGAGGAGGAGAAGGAGGATGAGGAGGAAGGAAGTGGGAGGAAGGAATGAAGGAAGG